ATGGTCTCAACCACAAGGCAATATACTTTTGTTGCTATACTTCAGATATCCAGAGAACTTACCTAATCAATTCACCAACTATTTTTCTTTCTTTGAATTTTTAAAAAACTATCATTGGAAATGAACACAAAATGTAGACATCCATGAACTGATAAACTTCAGCTTTATCTGCCTTCATCCACCATACGTATTCCAGAATACTAAGTGAACTGATCTATGTTCATTATAGAATTCATTCAAAACAAGCTATCAGAATGTCTCCTTGACAACTGTTAATTAATTTTAGATGCTGATAGAAATTGAGCATTTTAAGCTTTGTAAATATTCTGAAATTCAAACTACTCAGCGGCTAAAAAAATTACTCATTCATGCCTGTATCAACGCCTTCATTTAACAGACCTGATTAAGAAGCTATTTATGCTGTGAATGAAATTGGTAAGTGACTTGCTCCCATGGAGTATAAATCTAGCAGAGGGGAGAAAATAAAAACTAAGATATTTTCAATTGTAAGTGCTAAGAGAAAATAACACAGGATAGTACATAAAGTGAATGCAAGAAAGATACTTTATCTAGGGTGAGGGATGGACTATCTGAGGAGAAAACACATGAACAGAGAGAGGAAAGGAGTTGGTTATGAGAAGATTTACAAGAAAAACATCTCAGATAGGAAAAATAGCAATAATAAAAGTAACAATCATAACAATTTTACACAGCTCCAAAATCTTTACATATATAATATCACTATAGGTGGTAAATATTATTTAATGCAATTGATTTCACTAGAACTTGCTCCTTTAGATCAACAAGTTAACATGTAAATGAATCCAAATAATCAGCAAGATAATTTGTTCAGACATGTGAACATTAAGTTGTCAACATTACTGATGGAGAGTGTACACCCAAACCTGTTACTAGTTCCTAATATTTGCTACCTGACTTGTGATCATATCTTCCAGGCCAGCCATTTGAAAAGTGAAATCACAGCAGTTAGACTTCCACACAGAGTAGGTAAACAGATAGATAGATAGACACATACATACATATATACATACATACATACATACATACATACATAGACAGACCCTAGACCTAATTGTACTTATTTTAACAAAGGAGTAGAGTCACTTAGTGCACCTGTCAAGCAGGCTAGCTTGACCAGAATAAGGACAGGCTACACAGGAACCTACCTAGTAGAGTGAAGAAGTAGAGGAATGGAGATAAATTGCTTATCTCCTACTAATAAGTAAAGGGAGGAAAATTTAGCAACGTCTGGAGACATTACAATTCTTACTGCTGTGGGGTCTAGTGTTATCTAGTGATTAGAGGTCATAGGTACTGCTAAACATCCTACAATGCACATGATAGTGCAATACAGCAAGCAGTATCCCATTCAAATTATCAGTAGAGCCAAGGTTGAGAAGTACTGCCTCCCAAATGTCCTTCTTTCCAATCAGAAAAGTAGGACAATGGGTTTCCTGCAACAAACTCTAGTGGAGACTTTTTATAATTTCTTCTCTATGTACTAAAGCCTTTCACCTGTTTTGAGGCTATATTCCATAGTCTATGTATTTTTACCTTAAGCTACAGTCTGGAAAAAGTTGATTATATCTCAACTTTAGATGTGCTATTTCAGTATTTTCATTATTTCTTTTCAAATGGGCAAATATATGTGATTCATGTAACAAACTTTCCCAAAATCCAATGTAAATGTCACCTTTTCCTGAAATTTTTCTAATTACTAAATTGTCAGTTGTTCCTTCTTCTGAGTTCCTGTGGCAAACCATACATACTCTTATCTTTGCATTTATCACTCTACGAAGTCATTATTCACTTAAAGGTCATTCCCATTTAGGAAATAAGCCCTTCAGAACAGATGCTGTGTAGAACGTGTTAAACATCAAACAGTGCACATGATAGTCCCCTGTATCAAAGAATTAGCCTGCTAAAAATGTCCATAAAGCTGATGTTGAGAAATCCTGCATCTGAGAAATCTTTGTAGCTCTAATGACCGCAGGATGTCTGCCATAAAGAAGCACAAACTATTAATGTAAATAAATGAATGTTCACAAATAACACTACTAACACAAAGTTACCATGAGTTCTATTTTATTTTCCTGACAGACTTACTTAATTGTATCTTCATAAATTTAAAAACTTCATGCATATACTCTTCTAAAGAAAAATTGGGACAGTTTTTTTTGGGGAAAGGGATCTTGGGTTTGAATTCAAGGCTTCACGTTTGCTAGGCAGGCACTCTACCACTTAAATCACTCCTCCAGCACAGACAGTCAGTTTTAACAACATAAAATGTAGAAAAAGTATTGAAGGACATTTTAAAAACAAATAAGAATGTAATAATCTTAAATATATAAGATGAAAGAATCGTAAATATATAAAATGAAAGAATCATATTGGAAAGATAACTTCAGAAATGGAATATAATATAATCATAGAATCAAACTGTTTTTTGTTTTGTTTTGGTGGTACTGTTGTTTGAACTCAGGGCCTCACACTTGCTGAGCAGGTGCTCTACCACTTGAGCCATGCTCCCAGCCCAAAATCAAACTGTTGAGGGTAATTAAATGCTGATGGAAACTAGGATCACACAAGTAAAATGAGATAAAATTAAAACAGAAGAAATGATATTTTAAGTAAAATAACTTAAGCTTCAGGAATAGTTTAGAAAAACCCATAGGAAATCTCTCCCTACACACACATCCAGAACAAGCAAATTGTAAAGAATGCCAAAAGGCATAGTGGGAATCGATTATATAAATCCAAATGTTAGTTTTGCCTTGGTCTTCCAACAACAAAAACATATTCTATTTTATATTGTGTTCTCCTTGGGTGTCAGAATCACCAGTTCATAGAATCCAGGAAATTGTGGAAGGGCCTCGGACTTTAGCTCGTTGAGGTTCTCACCAGCAAACTTGCTGTCCTAAAACGACTCTTTTGAAACACCACATGCAGGGGACTCTTCAGCACCTGCCATACTCAGCCACTTGTTTCTTGACCTTTCTTCTGGAAGGGTTCAATCTCATTTTTGTTAGCTGGCCACTTGGTCTCAGAATATTGCTCAATGTTCCCAGAATCAGAAAAAAAAGTCTAATTATCGCTAGTGTTTCTTCACAGAACTCAGGTACTACCTACCACCTTCCCCAGAAGCACCTATTGTGGTATCGATTTGGTGACTGATGAAGCATTTATTCTCCTCACAAGGACTCACAACCATCGTGATTTGTCACTTCATCCACATTGAAATGCTTTCTTTACTTGGCTCCTAGCACTCCATACTCTTCTGATTTTTCTTCTATGACTCCATTACTACTCAATCTTCTTTGTTGACTCAATCTCACATCTTCTTAGACTTATTATCTTCTCATCTGCACTCCTTACCTTGGTGACATATCTGTAAGACTTTATATGTCATCTCTGTGCTCCCAAGGTCAAATTATTTCTCTTATCTGCTCTTCTTACCTGAACTCCAGATTTGATTGACACTTACTTGGATCTACAATAGAAATCCCCTTCTTACTATTTCTGAAGCTGAACCTCCAATCTACCTAAAACCCTAGTTCATCTGTTCTTTTCCATTAATCAGTTGCAACTTTATGCTTCTAGTTGTTCACGCAAAAGGTAGTTGTAGACACACTTGATTCTACTTTATCTCACACCTCATAGCTAATCCTTCAATGAAGTACTTGGTACAAATCTTCATTATATTCAGAACCAAGCCACTTCTCAATGATCCCACTGCCACCACCCCTTCTCAATTGGCTTATTACATTATCTATTTGATATTTTTTCAGGAAACCTGTCCTCAGACTTGTCTACTTACAAACCTTCAATCACAGATATCCTTTATTTATTTATTTATTTTTGAAATCACGGGTTTGCAAAAAAACCCATCTTAGATATTATTTGGCTATAAATTACATTATTGAGATAACTGACAAGATCTGAGTAAGTATGTAGATTATGCATTTATGTTGAACCAGTTTTATATTCTTTTTTATATTTATACTATAACCAGTAAGATAATTTCTTGTTTTAAGGAAATATAACAATTTAGGAATAGTCACAAATGGTTCAAAAAAACCCTTTTGTTTATACTTATATTCATGTCTATCTAATAAGCAAATGTAATAAAATATTTCATGTGGGGAACCATATCCAAGAATATGGATAATAGTTGCTGAGTGAGGAAACAGTACAAGCATTTTTTTCTTTTGGCATTTCTGAGTGACTGATAGTGCCTGGATTGCAGTAGAATTTCATTTACTGTTCATAAAAGCCCTATAATTTCTATACCTATTTTAAAGAAGATCTAGATAGTAGGGAGATAAAATTTGTCAGGGAAACCCATCTTGTGTTATGTCCTATGTTTACTTAAGAGTGGTTTGAGAAATTCTGGCTGCATATGGAATGTGCTAGGGTACCCCAGCCTTTGACACAAACTCTTGCCCAAGGTCTTTCAATTGCTCAGAGCTATTGTATCATCAAGCCAATATGTTTTGGAGACAATGACTATAACAATTTGCCTGTAACATAAGTTCATTCAAGGGAATAGAAAATGACAAGACTGAAGATAAAATTGCTCCATATTGTAGTTTTAGAATGCTTTCCTGAAAATTGAGTTCATCCATTAGTTCACAAAACTCTGGTGATTCTCAAAAATATAGATAGTGGGACTTCACTATATACTTTCTACTGATGTGGATTTTTAAGAAGATTCCCAGGTTTCTGTTAAGCAGCTAGCCCTGTTCTCCAACCATATGCTGGCATTATAAACCAATGCTATAGGTCAAATAAGCTACTAAAGCTTTTCAGGTTACAGTTTGCATACATTTTTGTTCATTTACAATTTATATTTTGATGCAGAATATCCCATTTTGGTCTATTAAACAATCAGTAAATCTCACAAAAGGGCGAGTAGAGTATCTTTCAGAGCTATGTATCCTGCACTGCCTCATCATAGTGTTTTTCTCCATCTGTTATAGGTCAATGCATAAACTGGCCCAACTGGAAAGACTTGACCTAGGCAATAATGAATTCAGTGAGCTGGTAAGCAAATATATTTTCTAAATTTGATGAGTACACTCCAGGAAAATTTTTTTTTTGCTATGTCTTTGTAGCTCCAGGTATTAAATCATTTTCTATATCTAAAAAATAAACTCAGAGAGTTAAAGTGATTGTTTAACTATATAGTAAACCAGGAAAGCTGGTTTCACTAACAATATATTGGGGTTGAAACAGATGCATATTGAGAGTGTTGAGCACCAACTATGTTGCAAGCACCATATTAAATGTGTTACATGTGTTATCCTATTTAATCCTAATTTGACATGTTGCCACTTTAACTTTATGGAAATTAGCTTGAAGTGCTCACATAAACATGGTGACACGTAGAGTTATTATGTGGCTGATCAGGAAATAAACAGTCTTGGTTAACTTGAATTTCCATAACTTTGAAGAACTCTCCCTTGGAGGCTGTTTGGCAGCTAGTATGAGAGGAATGAATCTCAATAGCCTTGTATTTCCAGTTGTACTGAAAGCGCCTTTCCAATGAACACATATCAGTATCTCAGTCCCATCATGATTGGCAAAATTCTGTTTGCTTCTTGTAGGCTCTGGATTTCTTTAAAATGTGCTGAAGACCGCAATCTCCAATGCAAATTAGAAAGCAAGTACTCCATTATATACAGGCCCAGCTTTTTTTATTGAGAAGTCTCCCATTGAATGAAATCTCAGAAACCCAATTCATCTGAAGTATATTTTAACTATTTCTTTGGCTCTACTGGGTTTTGAACTCAGGATCTTACACTTGCTAGGCAAGAATTCTACATCTTGATCTATGCCTCTAGCCCTTAATTGTTTTTAAATTAAGACATTTAAGTAACTAATCAGCCTTTCTGCCCCAGCCCTATTGCTAGCTATGTGATTTTGTGCAAGTTGTTTAATCTCTCTAAGCCTAATTTTCCTGGTCTACAAAGTGTGGATCATAATGGTTCCTGAATTATCAGGCTTGTGTGAGAATCAAATTAAATAATGCATGTATAAGACTTGGTGAAAAGTGCCAAGGTACAAGGGTTACAAGGCTTAACTCATGCTGTCTTTGACTGCACAACCAATATTAACTGTTTTACTTTAACCATAGCCAATTGAACCATTATCTCATCTCTGTCAGCTGTTTATTAATAGTAAAAAAGAACAACTTTTACTCCTCTGTGATTAAAAGTTCAATCTGTTTTGGGGTGTTAGGTGGTCTCTTTAGATTGTGTTCATCTTTCTTGCACAAAAGTCCTCAGTCTCCCATGTATCCTCTCCCCTTCCCCATCTCTTCCTCAGAAGAATTTGCGTCTTTGCAAAGAAGGTGATTATGTGTTTTGTGACCCAGGTGAAATGAACTACCGGGCCTAGGGATGGTTTCAAGTATACGGCCCCTGAACTGAAGTCTACAGATGGTGTTGCCTCCTGTATTAAATCACCAGTCTGAACCCGTGATCAGTTTTTGAGCTCAGGCAAAACTCTCTGGGAGTATTGGCCATCTCTGTCTTGTGTGTATGGCCACACTCAGCTCTCACTGTCTGTACATACAAGAGTCTGTGCTGTCCTACCTCCAGCACAAGGCTGGACTGTCCATCCTTAGCTTCTGTTGTGAAGGACCTAACCAGCTATAACCCCAGTAGTGGTCCCATTGCCATGGGAGAGTTCATGTAATATGCTAAGTAAAATAGGCCCAAAAAAGGTAAACTTCCAGAGCATCCCTTGTCTGCCAAGTTTACTCTTCTTTGTATGCACCCTTTATTATTACATAACAGCTTTCAGGGTGGCCTCTTCCAAATGTTAGAGAGGTGGTACCTACTGCATATTCTATGTATCAATGGTGTTTTTACACCATTTAGTAGGTAGAGATTAGTAAGAATAATAACAGACAACAGCAACACTGATAGTTTATACTGATAGATGTGACATTAGTTGTTAAGGATCTAGGCTCAACCCACACTTTCCTAAGATAAGTTTCTTGATCTACTGGTAGGAAGAACATGGATAGTGGGTACACACAGATGTGTTTGTCTCTCAGCTCTCTCAACAGCTAGCTGGGTGGTTTTAGATCTGTAACTCACTTTCTAGCATCAGCTTCTTCATCAATTAAAAAAAGGTATCAATACCATCTATTCCACATGCTTTGGGGAAAGTTTTCATGGAAGAGAATCTACAATAAACATACAATATATGTTTCAATGAATTTTATTTACCAAGTATTTTGCAAGCTTTTCATATCAACATATGTGAATCATTATTTTACTATAAAGACCTGGGTTAACAAAGATGTATAAGATATGATTATTTTACGAAAATAGACTTACTAAAAGTAAATTTAAAATTACTGAAATGTTTGCTTTATGGTATCTAAGACACCATCTAAACAGAAACAAGTTTTGTTTTTTGATATGACAAAATTTCAGGCGAGGCACAAAATGAGTCTTTTTCCCCTTTATTTTGCACTTGTCATTGGAGCTTCTATTTGATGATGCTCAGTTATTTGAAGAGTGTAATTATGGAACTTCACATTTCTAATGTTATTCACTCTTAATCAAATGTCTATTGTTAGTCATGTGTGTGGAACAGGCTGTTATTTTTCTGACAGCAACAACTTTTAATGAGAAAATAAGAGAATTTGCTCTGATAAGAGGTTCTAGAAACAATGCATGTGATGAAGGGATCAAATTCCTTCTTGTATTTTTTTTTTGTATTTTAGCACAAATTTTACTGTAAAACTATAAAGCACATACAGAAATGTATACAAAACAAAAATGTAAGCTTCTGAATTATCACAAAGCAAGCAGGTCTTAACACAGATGAAGTGGATAGCATTGCCAGGAAGTTCCTTCCCGTCACATCTGGTCATTTTCTCATCCATTCTTTCAAAGGTAACCAGTATCTTGGCTTTTATGATAATCTCTTTTTCTGTATTCTTTTTTGGCTTGTTACAAAATTATGCTTCCTTAAATGTTAGAATTAAATTTTCCAGTTTTGAATTTCATTTGAGAAGACATGTCCAGTTTGTTGTTGTTTTGTTTCTTTTTACTTATTTGCGGTACTGGGGATCAAACCCAGGGCTTCACACATGCAAGGCAAGCACCATGCCACTGAGCTATGCTCACATCCCCATGTAAGATTTTTTATTTAGCTTTTTTAATTAAATGTTTTCTGTGACACTCATTTCTCTTTTTAAACTTTATTAGCGTATAATCGTTGTACCAGAGAATACATTGTGATATTTACATATGTGCTTATAATAAGATTTACCCCCCAATCGTTCTTCCTCATCTCCTCTCCCTCCACCCAGACCTCCGCTTCTTAGTATAGTTTCAAAAGGTTTCATTCTTCTATTTTCATATATGAAAACAAAATACATCCACGATATTTACCATCATTCACCCTTTCCTTATGCCCTCCCCCACCCACTACTGTCACCCCCAAAAAAGACCTATTTTATTCTCCTGTCTCATTTTTTTAGTCAATATTGATAGTCCAAGAGGGTTTTACATTGATAGTCCAAGAGGGTTTTACAATATAACCAAGAGGTATATTGGTTAACTTTGAAAGAGTAGATGAGAAAATGACTGGACATGACTGGAAGGAACTTCAAGGGCAGTGGGATCAGTGGGTATAGAAATGGAGCAGAGCCATGGCTGACCATCCCATCCCTTTAATCCAGCTCCAGCTTCCAGGTCCCAGGCTCCCACACTGCTTCTGTCATCCCCACTCCCTGCACTGGAAGGAGAGGGCTTGTGTGGAAAGGAAAATATCTCTTACAGTCCCCAATAACTCTGCTATGGATATTTCACCAAAAGAATCAGTCGTAAGAAACAAAAAAGGGTTTCTGCAAGCCACAGAGAAAGAAAAGCACAGTTCAGAGGACACAAACAGCAGACTGAGAAGTGATCTGTGTGTGGTTTCAAGTTCAGAAATTCAATAGCAGGAAGAGGGTCAGAGAAATAAGATTTGAAATTGCACTGCAAATATGACATAAGCACACTGGCTAAATGCATCTACATCGATGCTTCTCTCTACCAACATGGAATTACAGTGTGCCTTCTGTTTTGTATTAATACATTATTATAGATTCTTTATAGGTATTATAATTGTAAGCTTTCTTTATAGCTGAACTAGGAAGACTGTCAGACAACAACTACAAAATGGTGAATTCAAAAGCAAATTTAAGAAAAAAATAAAATCAGAGGCTTTACATTTTGTTATGTCAAATTTGATACGTATAATATATATAATGCATCTAAATTACAAAGCATAAGTATGCTGTAAACTAGAACGCTGAACTAGAACATTACCAGTCATGAGCTTTCCCTGCCCGCCCCCCATCATTCTGTCTTATCGCCATAGGTAACTACAAGCCCAAATTTTTTAAACATTCTCTTGCCTTATCTTCAGTGGTAACTATAATCTTGAATTGTTCAATATTTCCTTGCTTCATCTTCTTTCCTTTGTATTTATTTTTACATAATTATATTGTAACACTTTGCTTTTTCTTAAGTTTCTAAAAATGTGACTCTTTCACAACTTATTTACCTTTCTTTTATCTTCTTGAATAATAATTTCTGTCCAGTTATTTTTACACTATTGCTATCAATATTCTCATAAGTACGTATGTGCAAGAGTTTACCTAAGGCATATATTTAGAAATGGAATTCTTTGGTCTTAAGCTATGCACACATTCTTCTCTAAAACTAGTGTTTTCTTTTCCAACACAGCTATACTCATCTACCAACAATGTGTAAGAATGCCCATGCTTCACAGCTTCACCAGCACTTGATATTGTCAATCTCCTTTTTTTTCCAATACAATATCTGCAAAATGACATCTCATTATGATCTTAATTTGTATATCCCTAATCTCTAAGGAGATTGATGGTTTTTCCATATGTGGAAGTCTATGTTGCCTCTTCTATGAAATGCCCCTTTACATGTTTTTGCTCACTTTCATTGTGGTTATCATTTCCTTGTTGATTTATAGAGATATTTATGTTCTTATATAAGACT